TCGGGCCTAAGATTTTCATCATTACCACTGATTTTTTTTCTTCCTCTATAATAAAATAAAATAAACCAAGCACTTCGGACCGATGGTATTATATTTATTATTTTCATAAAAATATCTCGAAGCCAACCAAATAAAAATGACACGTCTCATGCTAAGTTTCTATCGCTCATCACTGTCGCTGTCGTGATTATTCCATCGAATTTCTTTTGGATATTTTATTACTAAAATATCATCTTTGACATACACGAAATTCCATTAATTTTGTGAACGAATATCTATAAATTATAAAACATTTTCCGCAACAAGTTATTGAAAATATTTCAATAATTCTAAATTCTTTAAATTTGCCACAAATATTCTCTTTTTCCAATGTAACCTCATATCCTACTTGTATATATTTGGTGAAAAAATTCCACTGCGTCTTTTAAAAGATAGACTTATTATATTTATTATTTTTTTCATTCGATAATCGTATCCACGCATTTTCAAGTTGAAATGCATATTCTATATATATATATATATATATATATATTTCTAATAATTCCTTTATCTTTAAGTTCGATCTCTCATTGAATATAAAGATATCGATCTAATATATATGCGAGTGAATGAATATAAAGATATATTTGATTTATCAAAAAAAAAAGATATATTTGTGTACGTACGTACTGGAGGAGCATAACTATTGGGCCTTGTTAGTGGCACAACTTGGGCCATTTGAATATGAAGAGCCCAGTGAATTGACTTCATTACACAACCGTATTTGGTTTTGTCCTTTTTCCTCACACCCAAGCGTCATGACTTGTCATATATAATACGAGTATTAGATTCCATGTGAAAATTCTAAATTATTATGTTTATTTATAACACAAAATATATATATTCCTTTTTTATGCTTTTAGAAAATGAGATATTGAATATAAAAATATATATATATTTCACCTACAAAATGAAAATTTTACAATGATGCAATCGGCCAACAAATGACATCAGGCGGGCGATCCACGTGGAAAACCCTGAAATGACTTGAGGTGTCGAATTAGAAAATTGGGTAAGTTGTGATTTAGGGTTTACAACTTTTTTCACTGAAAAAAAAAATGTAAAATATATTTTCTTAAGCGTTTTAACGACGTTTCTGGATACGAATACAGCCATAATAATTTTAAAAATTGAAATTAAAATTTTGTTTGTTTGGTGAATAAAAGATAATGATGATTTAAAATGGTTAACTTAAGAAAAAAAACAAGCAGAGAGACCAGACATATGTGACAAAAGAAAAGCAAATGGGCAGTCGTGTTTGGACCACAGTATCGCCTTTTCACGTCGTCGAAGATTATCCTAATCCTAATAAGCGCTCATGGGATGATCATATCCCATGATGCATTATTTTTATGTCAATTCCAAAACACATGTACATATATATATATATATATACACGTATAAACCAAAGTATATCATATATATATATATATATCATTTTTTTTATTACTTTAAAACTCCATATGTATTAGTTTAAAAGCATGCGTGGATGTAGAAAATTTATTACCGGCGTAGTAATAATACAATGAAAAATATTAGAAAGTATTAATTTGGTTTTATTGAGGCGCATACATAAAATTAATACTTATTTTTTTAGTAATTCGAATTAGTTAGAATAATTATGGTTAATCTTTGTTGGATTTGGAGCACGTTATACACCAATACAACAAAATTAGGTTCATCCATGATAGAAAGAACCATAGCATATAATTACATATATATATATATACATATATAATCATCTGAATGACTCATTCTCCAATGACAGCTTCACTTAAATGATGAAAGAACCATATTGCAAATGATTAACATATAATTAACTGAGTTTTTTTTATAATCAATATATTCACTGGACTTTCAACCAATTTAATATTTGTAGCACCGGTCTTTGATTAATAATGCAACTGATTGTGCCCTTTCTCTCCATTAATAGAATCGAACCCAACATCTTGGATTGATTTTGTCCACTTCTAACCAATGAAACACCATTTAGTAGGTTATAATCAATTGAGTTACAACCAAAATAGTTAAGTTTAGTCCAAATGGGCCATGTGAGTTGGTTGAGTAGCCCATGATTCTCTAAGAAGTCATGGGTTCGATTCCTCTTATCTGCGAGCTTATCACCCTTTGGGTGGTTTACCTGCTCCATGTAGTTTGCAAGCTATGGCGTGGAGCCAGAGGGTTTATCACCGCGCCTGAAGGACTGTGGTTGAGTTCCCGTTGATACAAAAAAAATTCAAGTTTAACTATTTTGTCCACTCTTACCCAATGAATCACCATTTAGTGGGTTATAATCAACTGGATTACAAGCGCATATATATATATATAAATGTTTAAATTTTAATATATATATATATAAATAAATATATATGATAATTAATAATTAATGTGACAACCGTGGGGTTGACGGTGCACGTGAAACCATACGTTGGTGGTGGTGGTGGAGCCGATATGTCAATTGTGTTGCGTGCTGCTGAAACGTACCCTCGTGTGCATGTCCATTTCTCTACGTCCTCTTCTCCCTCTTTTTAATATTCTCTCCTTTCCCCCTAAACAATATAATTATTAATAATTTAATTTTTTTTATAAAAATAAAAAGAAAAGATTCACCTCAAATCTATAATGGAGAACAAGAAAAATCAGACATCGGTCCATATCTTTCAGACAGGGGACAAGAAAACATATCAATCCTAGTCTCACTTACCTTGCTGGATGTCACGATTTCTGCATGGTTTTGTCATTTTTCGGGACGTGGGCTTTATAGTTAGTGTGTTCATCAATGTTTATCATCATACATATATTGATATTATAATATACCTATCGATTATTAAAATGTTATTAATCTTCACGATTCATGAATAATCTTAATACTATGACGAATCGTGATATTGATGTGTACACGACTGTCTATATTTTGGCCTTATATGTATGCGGTCATCTACCCACCCACTCATTACGAATATCTATATACCACCTTTTTTTTTCATTTATCTTATATTGAAAAAAATATAATTAATTCATCTAATTCTCTTTTTTAGGATGCTCCTTTAACTTTAGTATATATTTTTTCTGCACCATATTTCAATCTCTCTCTTTTTTAAAAAAAATGGTTAGGTCGAAAATGATCATTCACCTTACTACAACAAACAAAAACAAAAACAAAACATGCCTATATACATCCACACGATTAAATGCAATTAATTACATATTATGTGTCATATATATATGAAAGCAACCACAATTTAGACTCGGAGGTTTATATCCTCTTTAATTAGGATCTCAAATTCGGTAATAGTCAACTGGTGCATATATATAAAGAAAGTTCAATCAATCACATTAATGTGATTATAAGATATATTAGAATGTATACAACCAAATTATATGTATAGATTTGGTTTGGTACAAAAATTTGTATAAAAGTAATATATATGCACTGGTATTTATACAATTCACACCAAATCATTCATATAAAAACGAATTAAGCCAGCCCAAAATGAAATATTAAATCAATCTAAACCTGCCACGTATATAAGAGCATTTGTAGTTAATGAGATGCAATTATGGGGATGGAATCGGATGAGGATGAAAGGGGTGGGTGAAAGAGCATCACCCCTATAAATGGGGAGGAGAAGAAGACCGAAGCTAATTAAGGCCATATTCTCCGGTGGTTTGCTGTTTGGTCGCACATTGCTTTCGCCTCAGGCCCCGACTCCACGTGCGGTCTACGCGCCGGTGGGCCGACCGAGGCGTGGCCTTCCCCTTTTCCCGCTTTCTATATATATATATGTATATGTGTGTATTGCCGATTGCAATAGCAAAACACGAACAAATGCAAAATGGCAAAACAGGAGTCAACTATGGGACGTATAATAAAAGCCCCATAACTTGGATAATAATCTACGCACCAATACATTTCCGTATAGTTTGGGTCGTGTTATGATATATACACTGCATAGAAGATATATAATATTGGATAATAATGCTTAGAACTAATATCTCAAGGCATTGATTTCATGTTTTTTTCACCAGAAAATCGAATTTAGACAATCTAATTAAATAGACAACACAAATTTTTTTTATATAATTTATGATACATAAATAAAACCAAAATAATTAATAAATATAACTCTCAATCATTTTCAAAGAATATCTCGTGTTTGAAAAAATCAAGCTATTATTAATGTACTCAAATAATATGTGGTTTTAGGATACGAAGGTTAACGTGTCTTGTCCAAATGGTTCCGAGGAGCTAGCATTGAATGCAATATATTTGCCCATCATTTGAATATTTTATATGTATGTATGTATGTATATATATATATATATACGCACACGCATGCCCTCACGCGTGTACAGTTTTAGGGTTTTATGTATATCACTTTTAAGAAAAATAAAATAAAAATAAGACGTTGACAACTTAGCATGAGGTTTTTCAAAATCTGAAGATCAATTACGTTGTAATCGAAAAGCCATTAATGATCGGATTTATATACATTCACCACGCACGGGTTCCTATATTACGACCTACCAACCTAATTAACCTACCTTTTTTTTTCAATGCTGTGAATTAATATAAATATATTCGTACATCAATTGTCTAGTGTTATATACTGCATCCATTTAATTTTATTTTATATGACGTTTTAGGATAGTTTTTTTTTTGTTCTAAAATGAATGACGTTTTTTTATTTCCTATGCATTTTTTGATATATATATATATATATATATTTTTCCCCAAATTTACCTATATTCCATCATAGTTCATCAAAGAGTAACAATTTATAGTGTTGAAAAATTAAACTAGTTAAAGAGGACATTTTAGACAATATTTTTTTCTTAATATATGTGTTTAAAGCTAAAATGACATTTAAAACTAAAGGGAGGGAGTATATATATTTAAAAAAAATAAAACAATATAGTTTACGTATACATATATATATGTATGTGCGTATATTTATATATTGAATATCAATAGCGGTCTGAATTTCTCATTTAACAAACACACACAATTTGACATGAGAGAGATACATAAGCGTTTTGGTAACCCACCATAATTAATCTGTGATATACATAAATTAAAATCTAACATTACCCTTCTACCTATTTTACAAAAAGCTTTCACGATCTCAGAAAAAATATACTAAGCTCCTGTCCATAACCACCACCGGGATTCATCATATGGAACGATTCCGAGTCAGTTGACCCGCTGACTCGCTCGAACCTCGCTCTCATGTACAACGCCTCGTCGTCGCCGAGCGGCAGCACGCCTGCTCCGACCGATACCGACTGCATCTTCCGGAGAAACGCCGCGTCGTTCGCCGTCACCTGCCGCCGGACTGCATACCCAACTTTCCGGCCGTTACAGTACATCGTCCACACCGGCACCTGGAAAATTTCGACGGGTTTATATATATAGGAATATTATCACGAACTTAACAGTCTTTTCTATGTATCACGGACGGGATCAGCACCTGGAAAAGCATGGACGAGCCATGGTTGCTGCGGCGATCGCACTCGAGGGTGATTCGGACCGAGCCCTGGTCCATCTCCCGAGCGAACGTCGAGGTGGGCACGGCGAGATCGAGGTGGAGGAGCGGCGGGGATCCGCCTCGAAGGTCGTCGTGGAGACAGAAGCTGACGCGGCCGCGGCGGTGGCCGAAGAAAGTTCCAGTGACGACGAGGCTGTTCTGATGGGAAGCGGAAGAGGAGGAGGAGAAGGAGTGGTCGGAGGAGGAGGATGATGACGTGGCGGAGGAGACGGATACGGCGTCGTTCTGGTGGTCGGAGGGTGAAGGCTGGTAAGTGCAACAGTACGGAACCATGCATTCGATGAGTGACCGGAAAGTTCGCCGGAGACGGACGTCACGGCCACAGTCGACGGAAGTAGGAGTGCTCATGATCTGTAAATGACCTCTTTGGCTTCCTAAATCTATCATCGTTCTCATGATCTTTTTATTTTTTTTTACCAAAAAAAAAAATTATATGTACTGAGCTGTTGTAGAGGAGAGAGAGAGAGAGAGAGAGAGAGAGAGAGAGAGAGAGTTGGTGGAGAAGAATGGAGGGAGTGAGAGGATATATGTATAGGTGGAGGCCTGAGGGTGGGGGAGTGAATTGGGATGGTGGGGATATATATGTTTTATATTCTATTTATTAATAAGGTATGTATGTCAGATTATTCGTACTTACACTAAGTATAAACAATGACATTAATTTGGATGGCCATTTGACCAAATAAAGGGTATAAAAATATATTTTTATGTAATTTTTGCCAACCAAATAATGAATTTAATTTGGCCAAATACAAAAGTATAATTATAAATTAAATCAACGTTCACAATATTATAATATAAATAAAATAAAAAATTTTAAAAAAATATATATCACTAAAAATGCAAAAAAAAAATAAATAAATTTGGGAGGGAGGGTGCAATAATTGGGTAGGGGGAAATGGGGCCCACGAGATGCTTTTGGGGAAAAAGGCAAGGCCCATTTTTCTTAATGTAAGATCCAATCGATGCCTTTGGAAGCAAGTGAATGGTGCGCGTGCGTCCTTCGCCCTTCCCACCTCCCTTTATTTCTCTATTTTTTTTAAAAAAAATTATTATTATAATTATTATTATCATCATCATCATTTTTCAATTTTAATTTGCCCAATTAATTTCTCCATAATCATTTTTATGGAATCTATGTAATCACTGACTCTATTATATTCCTAAATGAGGTTTTTTTTTTATCTCGGATATGGACCAACCAGTAATTTTGTTAAAACGAATTATTAATCACTAATTCATTTCCAAAAGAAAATATTGTGAGTATGTATAGGCAAAAGCTCAGAAATCGAAACTTCAACGTGGAAGCCATGTTAAATAGATGTAATTTTGAAGAAAAACATGAAGTTTATAAGAAAATTGTTAATTCTAAATATAAAACATTATTTAAGTGAATTAATATCCTAATAAGATACAAATTAAATATAAAATAACGAAAATTTTAAATAAAATAGGATTTAATATTCATTAAAATTCAATCAAAATCAAATAAAATATTAAATAGATATATATTTTTTTTACAAAACTATAAATATTCTACCCTAAATCCAAATCGAAATAAAAACTATTGAAGACGAACAAAACAACTCTCCAATTTACAAAGTATAGCGTAGCTTTTGTACTAAAATAATGTTAATATTGTTGGCAAATGTGAAAATTCTTTTTCCCCCTTAACGCAGTGATACCAATATATATATATATATATATATATATATATATATGAATGTTCCTCAATAAATTATTATACCAAGAAAAGTAGCATGAAAATGATGAGATGAAGCGTGAGGATATAAGAAACAAGCATGCATGATTTCAATGATTACATATCCAATCATGCGTATATGTATTTGTAATTTTAGGTTATTGTTAATCACCGCGAGTGAAGAAGAAGAACAACGAAGAGAAAGCACATCATTAATTAGTTATCATATCTCTATTATCTTTGAATGATTGATTATAATGTTTCTTTTTAATTCTTCTATACATTTTTTTTTTTTGATTTCGAATGTGATCATTAATGGGTTTTTCATTAATAATTTGATTGTTATCAAGCAAAATATCATACTTTACTTATATTGAGAATATACTAACACAAATTTGAGAAAACAAATAAAAATAATATATTCTACTTATTAATCATGGGTTATTGATGACCCTAAGACAGCGAAATTGACTGCTTAACAACGACGCTATTTCATTTCCATTTTCAATTTTTATTTTCTTAAAATATATGAATATAAAATTACAAAACATGACACCACTTTTGTTTTTGTTTTGATCTTATGGGAAAAGCCCAAGCACGAAAAGCAATGTGTGCATGCTTTGTTCTGCAATGTCCTAACATCCTTTTTCTTAGACTCTCTGTTACTATTCCATTTTTTCCCCATGTAAATATTTCAGTTAAAATAATTTCACGCAATTATAAATTCTTCCTGATTTATGTAATATTTAAACATTTGCTTTGTGAGTCATGTTTGCTTGGATTTGCACAACATTCAAAAAAAAAATTATTCCGAATTATTTGATTAAAGAGCAATAACATATCAGACGATGTTTTATAAAATAATTAATACAAATGATAGAGATTTTTTTTCTTTCTAATCTTGAATAAGTGATTTCTTCCATTTTAGTTTTTTTTAAAACTAAAATTAAATATAATGCGATGAGAAGATGCCGAACAAGAGAATCAAGGTTTTAGGGCACGCCTCATGGACCCATTTATCTTTTTATACACGGTCCAATTTCCACTAATCTTAACAGAAACAAAAGAAAACATTATTCAATTCAAAATTTAATCTTTTGGGACTTTATGATCACTATTTATTGAATTCACTTCCAATCTTTATATCTACCGTTTGGATTTTTCTATTCAGAAAAATATAATTACTTTTGTCTTTGGTTTTACTCGATTTTTATTCGAATCTTATTCATAAAATTATTGATGTTTAAGAATAAAATCCATTTTTTTATTTATTTTGGATTATTTTTATTTTATTTTATTTATCAGATCTTTTAATACAATTACATGGTTTATATAAGTAAGGATTCATTTAAAGGAAATGAAGTGGTCACTCGGGATGATATTTAAATAGGCATTTAATAAAATGTTATTACCAAAAGACTGTATATATACATACATATATATAAAAGAGCCATTGTTATTTTCCCTTATTTTAATGAGAGACATTTGTAGGTGGTCTAGTCAAATAATGATAGTATACATATATGTATCGAGAACATACCCTTAAATATTTAAAATTTGCATCCCTTTTAGAAAAACTTTAGCTTCACTTCACACCCCATGTTTGAGATCCTTGACCATAAAATCATTGGAAATGAGCTAAAGGGCCTAGCGCAATGAATATAGCATATGATTAATGGGTGATTAGCTTTAACTTTAGTTAATTATAAATAATTAAATACTTTCGTTGGTGCCATAAATCATGACCAGTTTCCTGTGCTAGTGGGCAATATACCCTTCAATAAACAATTTTAAATTGAAAACCTAATTTATGGATATAGAAAGGAAGACGCCAACGGAAATAAATTATAATCAAAGGCCTTGCAATTGCACCATCTCAATTATATATATATAATCACTATTTTTAAATATAATTAATTGTATACATGTTATAATTGATAATGACTTTCTCTTATGGAACAAAGACTACAGTTCGTTGCACGTTAGCGAAAACCATGTTGTAAGGTGTGTTTCTAGTTTGGAATTAAAAATTCATATTTATAATATGAAATTGTAATTAAAAAAAAGAAAAGAAAAGAAAATGGATAAAGAAAAAGGCCGAATCTTACATTAGAGGAGTTAATATAAAAGTTGGGCCTAACAGATCTGTTAATAAGCCCACTAATCTCTCCAAGCCCAACACACGTTTATATTTCAACCTTTTCAATCTACCACGTTCCAAGGTTCACAAAAATATCATTTTTGAAAGAAAAAAAAAACAATTTTTTGGACCAATTGTTTATTACAAAACTTATAAATCAGTTGTAGCCGCCAGACATGGCCAGTCTCTGTCGGATGCTTGGCGGTCACGCAGGAGGACTTCTCGGTCCATTTCGTTATTTTGTAAAATAAATATTTTTTTTTTTAAATTAAATACGTCTTAGGTTACGAACTACGATTGTGTAGTTGTAATATAGAAAATTAGAAATTCCCATTATTTTTATTTTGTTCTTTTAATAACTACCGAAAGGAAATTACGGTAAAAAAAATTCGTTGGGATCATATAAATCGAAGTAAAGAAGCAAATGGCCTATATGAATAGATAATTAGGAGCAACTATATCAAATTTATTTGTAAGAGAACAAAATCTAAAATACAAGTCACGGTAAAAAAATAAATTATTATTATTATTATATTTTTGTTTAATGATTATACAAATGTTATAATAAATTGACTGCTCACTTGAAAAAAGTACGAGCTTACCTTCTATAACCAAATGACCGCGTGGTTGTTTTCCAAATTGGTACAAAAATTAAAATGGAAGTTTTATAGCTTATAATATAATTAAATAATTTATTATAACATTTTTTTTTAATTATATTATAAGCTATAAAACTTCCATTTTAATTTTTGTACCAATTTGGAAAACAACCACGCGGTCATTTTTCAAGCGAGCAGTCCGCATTTAAGCCACATATTCAATAATTTTATTTATTTTCCATATTTTCAATTTTCTAAATTCATCGTAATAACATTTATTTTTTCTTATATAATATTTTTCCTATGAAGAATTTATATCATAAAGTGTATTGATCAAACGGAAATACATTTAAAGAAATGTTATCATGCGTATTTTGTAATACCAATCATTACAATATATATTTTAACTTCAGTATTTGATTATGGTATTAGCACGCATAATTAAAAAATGTATATCCGACGATATGCAAAAAATGAAAAAAATTTCATTTGACAATTCCATCTCTGCAACAGTAAACCTAACAAAAATTGTATGATTATTACCCTTTTCTGTTTTCTCTCTCCAAAACCTGAGGCGTAAATAAAATAAAATGAAATGAAATAATCTATAGAACTGAGCCTTCGTTAATGGTTGAAAGCCTCAGCCTAAACGGACTAACCGCAAGCTTGGCTCGCCGAGACGTACATCTCGGTAATTTCAGTACTGTTCCAGATCTCGAGAAACCACCGGAAACCTTTGCCAGCGCTGTTTTCTCCGCCGATTCCCCATTTTTAACCGTCGATTCCCCGGCGACACTGTTCGAACCGCTCGTCTGACTCAGCACCACCACCGGCGAGATCCGCCCCTTATTGCGGCGGCGGGATTCCTTCCCAGCCGCGTTCTGGATCGCGACGCTGGCTTTGACGGCGAGAGCCGCCATGTCCGAAGCCGTGAGGCGGGTCCAGCGCTTGGAGATCGGGAGGACAAAGTAGATCTGCTCCGCTTGAAGCTGCTCCTCCGATCCAACAGCAGGCATGAAAT